AATACGATACAAGTGTGCATCCTCAACTCTAGTGACTTTTACAGTTACTGTGTGTTCAATTGAATGAAAACAACTTGTTTTAACCTCCTGATTGAAGTCAAAAACTCTTTCTATTGTCTCCTATTGCTATGTATATAAACTCGATATCACAATTATTGTAATTTTATGAGTGAGTAATATGCATATTCAGTGCAATGAATAACAATAAGTTTGCTGGTGGTGTGCAGCGTGGTCTAAATTTATATAACGGAAGGTAAACACGTTAGATAAATGTCAAACATGGAAACATACCAGGTGTGTGTCATCAAACAATTTTGCATGGTCATACACATAATTCATTTTTTCCTTGGTTTAAGTAACTTGCCCAATGCTCCATAATATGTGGGGGTACAACTGTTGAAGAATCTTCTACTTGGTGTGATAGCAGATGCTTCGATAAATGCCAATGGTGAAAGCCGAACGAAACCAATGGCAGGAAGGTGGCAATTTCTGAATGCCAAACGTAAGATTAGGATAGGATTTTGGGATAGTACGAACAATGTATGATACAGAGAAACTAATGCAAGTAACAGCAGAGATGACAACCTAGATGTACTTGGAGTAAGTGAAGCAGATGGACAGGATCAGGGAGGCTTGGTACTAGAGAGAGAAAACAGTATTGTACTCGGGGGAGTGACGAACACGACAGGAAAGGAGTAGCCATCATTCTTAAAAAGAGGTGCAGAAAAGCTGATGGAGTAGGAACCTGTCAATAAGAGGGAAACAAGTCAACACAACTATCCAGTGCTATGTTCCAACAGTGATAGTGATGCTACTGTTGGATACTGAGCGAATTCTATGAACAACTACAGGCTGCGTTGGAAGTTACACTTAAATACGACATGAAGTTTGTGATGGAGAACCTGAATGCCAAGGTTGGAAATGACAAAACTGAGCATGAAAGGTCCATGGAAAAAGAGGGCTGTGGAACTATGAATGAGAATGGTGAGAGGCTGGGTTAACTTTGCACCACTTATAACCTAGTAATTGAGGGAACCCTCTTTCAACACAAAAACATCCAGAAACTGATAAAGAGATAAAGAGATAAAAATCAGATAGACCATCATCTGATTAACGGGAACTGGAAATGCTCACTAGTTGATGTCAAGGTTAAACAGGAAGCTGATATTCGTAGCGACCATCACCTGGTCATAGCTGTGCTCAAAGTAAAGCTGCGAAAACCAGGGAACAAAAAGACAGGCAGACAACAGTTTGATGTTGGCTAATTATATGACCCAAATGTAAAAGGCTCATTTGTGCTACAACCGAAGAGCAGGTTTCAGGCACTAGCAGATAGACACGGGAAACCATAGAGAGCAGTGGAGCATTTAACGAACAAGTAATTGGGATAAAATTCAAAGAAAGATACAAGAAACAGTACCAAGAAACACACAAAGCAGTCAAAGGAAGGCCAGAGCTGACAAACGGGCATACAT